GAGGAGATAGGGGAGGAGGGCGGGGGGAGAGGGGGGGGTTGAACCCCCCCCCCTCCGTCACGTAGGGGGGGGGGTTCAGACCCCCCCTCCATCGAGGGGGAGGGGTCCGGTTCCAACCCCCCCCTCCAAGCGACCACAGAGCGCGCTCGTTCGGAGCGCGTGCTCACGTGAAGTCAAGCAACATGATGTGCATGTCCGCTCACCCGACCAGCCCCCGGCCCCCTCCGCCGCCGTACGAAAGCACGCTGAGCCGAACAGCGTGCCGATGTGTGCTTCAATCCGCGTCACGACGGGTGCGCCTCGCCGTTTGCTTGACCGCTTGTGGGACCCAGCCCGCCGCATACCCCGAAAAAAGGTGTCGATGTTCTTGACGCCCAGGCTTCCTTTGCGGCCTCGCCAGGCCCCCATCACACCTCCGCTTAACTGGCGAAGAAGGGTATAAGATACACTTTTTCGCTGTCGGGGGCGCCTGTCCCAGGGCGGCTGGAAAGTTTATAGCCTTACGGTGGCACGTCAAGGGAAAACTTTCCAGCCGCCCTGGGGCAGCGCCCCCGACAGCGAAAAAGTTTATTCTACACCGCTCTTCGCCAACTAGTCCGTGCAAGCACCGAACTTGCCAGCGTCGGAGCAATCGGCAAAGTCTCCTGGGGACCGCAGATTCACTCGATTACGTCGAATGCGCCCCCACCCGCCGGCGCGATGCTCAGTCGGGCCCGATGGGCGCAAGCAGCCCGACCAGGCCTGCTGGGCAGCAAACTCGCGCATCGAGGGGGTGGGAGGGCGGGTAACAGACACGACGAGACGAAGTAACAAACAGTACCTGACTTGTGCACCCCCCTTCTACTCCATGGCCTGTGATGGGCGCTCTGGGCACCTAGCTCTCCCCTGCTCGTCTTTTCCCTACGTTCCAACACGCTGAATGCTGAGGAAACATAGGGGGACGAGCAATTACATAAACATAAAAACTCGGAGGTCCGCGCGGATTTCTCGGATTCGCGCTGGACCCCCTCCATGGCGCGCAGAGCGCGCCAGGGGCGGCGCTGGAGGCGCCGCCAGGGGGGTCCGGCGCGGATCCGAGAAATCCGCGTGGAACTCCGAGTTTTTATGCTTATGTCATTGCTCGTTCCCCTAAACACGTGGAACGCTGAGGAAACAGGACATCCCATGTTGTTGGACACCTTCGGCCCGCCCCCGAGATCCCGCACAGGAGCTGCGGGGACCTCCGCGTCTTGCCTCCGGGGATCGCCCGAGACCTCGGGAACCTCCGGAGGAGACACGCGGAAGCTTCCGGAGGAGGTGGCAAACGAAGGAGGGAGGACTCATCATGAGATGCAGGAGGAGGAGGAGGAGGAGGAGGACAAGGAGGAAGAGGATGAGAAGGAGGAGGAGGAGGAGGACGACGACGACGAGGAGGAGGGCGGGGGGGGGGGAGGGGGAGGAGGAGGAGGAGGAGGAGGAGGAGGAGGAGGAGGAGGAGGAGGAGGAGGAGGAGGAGGAGCGGCCAAGAGAAGATGCCGCGAGGGAAGAGGGTCCTTGCGAAAGCCTGGCACGCCAGAAAGGGGAAGGACAGTCGAGGGAGACTGCCCAGCAGCAAGTGCTGTCCCAAACCGACGGCAGCCGCTCTCCCTCTCGGGACCCCTCTCCGTCGTGGCGGCGCTAGGCCGCTCGCGCTGGCGCTCGCTGCTCGCTGCCGGCCGACCTCAGAGGACGATCCCGCGGCCCTTGATCTTGCCCGACGTGTACTGGGGGACGTCGTACACGTCCCTCTTGCAAGCCCGCCGCGCCCGAGGCACCGTTCGCCCTGGTGCCCGCGGCGCCCTCCCCAAGGCGTAAAGGCCGCGCGTCGGAGCAAACCGGCGCGGCGACGTGTCAAAAACCTGCCAACCGCCAGAGCAAACGCTGCCGGAGCAGCCGAGCTCGGCCGCCGCGAGGCCTCGCGGGCGCCGCGCGCGGCCGCAGGAGCGCGGGGAGAGCCTCCCGAGCTCGGCGGGCACGCCTGCGGGTCCGCCGTCCTCCAGGAGGGGGACTCCTCCTCGCGTGGGAGGACTCCTCCCCGCGTGGGAGGACTCCTCCCCGCGTGGGAGGACTCCTCCTCGCGCGGGAGGACTCCTCCTCGCGCCGGAGGCCGAGAGGCGGGCTTTTTGGCCAGCGGCCGCAGGGCGCAGTCCGAGGCGGCAGGCCAGCAAGGGGGCGCACGCCGGCGAGTCGAGCTTGGGCCGGCGCGAGAGGGGCAGCCGCAGGGCAGAGGGGCAGCCGCAGGGCAGAGGGGAGGAGAGCTCCGCTGCACCGGCACGCCCGCAGCACGCAGCGTGCTGGCGCGGAGCTCGCCACGTGGACTGCAAGCGCAGGTCTGGCACGGTGCGTTCGCCAAGGCGTGGGCCAACGCGTGCCGAGCCAGCACGCAGCTTGCGAACACGGACGTTCTGAGGGCGGCACGTGTTGCGCCTCGTCACGGGCGTATCAGTGCAGCGAGGGGTCGGCACAAGGCAAAGATGGGGTCCTGAGGGATGGTGTCCCGAGGACGATGTGCCTCAGACAACGTAACTCCACCCTTGGATCCCTTCCTGTCGTTAGGCCCCCATCCCTCAGGACACCATCTTTGGACCACCGATCTTCGCCCCAAGGGCGCTGTCTGTTGACGGTCACGGCCGGGGCCCTGGGAGGGCCCCGGGAGCCTGAAGACGGCGAAGCAAACTCCAGGACCGATTTCCCTCCGGACCTGCCCCATGGCGAAGAGACCCAGGGCACACGGCGAGAGGAATTGTCAAATCCGCGGCACCACACCTCGAGATCCTTGCCTCGGGGGCAACCTTCGTCCAAGACCCATGTCTGATAGCCCGGGGGCACGAGAACAGCCCCAGAGAGGCCGAATCGAGGGAAAACGTCAGGGTCGAAAAAAACATCCTTCGAGCGTCTAGGTTTGCCTCATGCTGGGGTCCCAAGAAGGTGCGATGACAGACCGTGCAATGACCTCGGAATCCCCAACGACCTCACCGCACGGCGCCGCACGGTCCGTCACCTCATGGTTCTGAAACTTCGGAGGCCCAAGTCTTCCGAGACGTCCTCGGAGGCCCAAGTCATTCTGGTGATCAAGGTTAAAGTAGGTTGGAACATCATAACCCTTAGCTTTCGAATCAAGCCTGACCTCTGGTGGCCGTTCGGGACGTTCCGGGCACCCCCAGAACGCCCTCGGCGAGGCGCAGCTGCTGGAGAGCGCCCCGAGGCTGGAGAGCCGCCCAGAATCGACGAAAGTGCCCCGAAAACTCGAGCGGCGACCCCCGCCGATGAGAATACCCGAGAACCTCGAACATCGAAAACTCTCCCCTGAGCCTTTCCCCCACGCTAAACGTTGCCTCCTCTGGCTCAGGGCCCGGCGCGCGCTGCCGGCGGGGGGCGGCCGAGCGGCGCACACACGACGACCAGGACGTGCTCCCACAGCGCGCCGCCGTGGGGCTTCCCGGGGCTCCCCGCGGAACGCCTGCTGCCTCGATCGGGGGCGCGGCGCCGGGTCGCCCTCTGGTTTGCCCTCCCCTGGCTCCGGATCCGCCGTCAGCGCCCTCCGAATGGGGACTCCACCAACGAGTACTTTGACCAGGGACCGGGCAAACCCAGTCCACCCCGATGTGGGCACCGCTGCAATGCCAGAAAGAGGCCCTAAAATGACAGCTTTCGGCAGTTTTCCAACGTACCCGTTAGTGAGTACCCGCTACGGTGCCGCTGACGCCGTGCGTTGGTCGGCTTTCCGGCTTGCAGTCTGTCGGAAAAGCACCCAGACACTGCGGGCGAGCAGTGCGGGAAATCTCCGCCTCGGAGACGTAGGGCGGATGTTTCCGCACATGCCCGGCGGAAAGAGAGACGGCAAAGCAGGGCGGAGATTGACATCACAGGAGCTCGAGAATTAGGCGGAAAAACTGACTTACGAAGATTTAAGTTCGGCGGATCTGGAGTCAGGGTCACGGGGTCGAGCGAAAGGGAGGGGAGAAGGGGGGGTACGAAATCTGCTGCGTGCAACAGATTTCGTCCCAGCCGCCGGCCGCCTCCCTCGACACACACTGGCGGCGCCTCTGGCGCCAGAGCGCGCCGGAAGACGCGGCTACGCGAGCTGGTTCGCGAACTCCCCCTTTGCCAGCCCCCCCTCCGTCCGAGCCGGCCTCGGGCAGTGCCGCACTGCCGATAGGGGGGTCGCCATAACACCAAGTGTCGTCCTCAAACCTCGAGCTCGAGAGAGTGGAGGGAGTGGGTTTTTACATGTTTTCGGCCCCCGTCGGGCTCCGGAGGCCCCTGGTGACCTCCAGAGGACCACGACTGACCAGCCGCAGCAAAGTGCACCAGTCACCACCATTGGGGGGCCGCCAATTCTTCCTGAGGGTCGAGGTTCCAGGCTCGATGATCCAGGAGGCTTTCGAGTGTTTTTGCGGCGTTCTGGCAAGGTTCTGCGGAGGCCAGGGGGCCCGAGGGCACCTCCTCCACGAGCGGGCGGCCCCCTTTGGCATTGCCCCCCCTACCCCGAAAAGGGGCCTCGAGAGCGCCCAAGAGGCCTCCGAGATGGCCCCCTGCCCACGAAGCCCTCGGCCCAAGACGGCCCCAAGAGGGCCCCAAGACAGCCCAGGATACCTCCAAGATGACCTCCAAGACTGCCCTGAAGCGCCCCATGAGGGCCCCAAGTCGGCCCAGACAGGCCCCCAAGACGGCGTCCGACTGCGTCAGATGGGCCAGGAATGCCCTCAGACGGCCAAAGAACTTACTAAGGAGCTCCCAAGGCCCCCAAGTGGCCTAAGGACACCCCCAAAAGGCTCCATGATGCCTCAATTGTGCCCCAAGAAGCTGCCAAGAGACGTCCTCCTCCTCCTCCTCCTCCTCCTCCTTCTCCTCCTCCTTCTCCGCTCCTGGCACTGCAGCGGATTGTCCCAGAATCGGGGCCGCCGAAAACAGCGCGCCGTGTGCGCCGCCGCGGCGCGGCCGCGGGGCACTCACAGCGCGAGGCGGGCCCTTCTGAGCGGGCGGCATGGGGATAGCTGGCCAGCTCCCCCGCCCAGGTCTGCCAGGCCGGAAACCAGCCGGAGCCCAAGCACGGGCGGCCCAAAACACGGGCCATTCCTGACAAAACGGGCAGGGCCGGACCACCGCCAAACCCACGCAACCCCCCAGGGGCCCCGCACGACACGACAGACGACGGGGAGGACGGGTCGCCCGGCACGACCCCCGAGATCAGGGAATCCAGGGAGAGACCCCTGGCCTGAACGGGGTACTGCGCGCCAGGCAACCCCCTGGGGAGGGGGACCGCGCTTTGGCGGCCATCCCCAGGGGCGGGGGCTTTTCGCCCCGAAGGCCCGACGGTCCCCGCCCGACGGGCCCGACGATGCCCTCCCCCAGCGGAGGGCGCCCCCACGGGGCCCCTCCTCTTCCTCCTCCTCCTCCTCCTCCTCCTTCTTCTCCTCCTCCTCCTCCTCCTCCTCCTCCTCCTCCTCCTCCTCCTCCTCCTCCTCCTGCTCCTCCTCCTCCTCAATGTGTCACGGCAGGCATCAACAATAGCGTAGCGTGCGATGGTGATGGCAGCAACGGCACGCAGCGGCGTCGCAGGGAAGTCCCCCTCCCCCACGTCAATCAACCCTCCCTGACCTCATCTCATCCATGCAACAGTGCCTCGGTCGGCCGCACGGCCCAAGCATCCACGGGGCTGCACCGCCAGGGGCGAGAAAAACAAGGGACGCAAAGGGAAAGCACAGTGGAAAGAGACAACAACCAACACAGAAGGGCGGGGGGGGGTGCAATCCTCATGAGCACATGGGCCGCGTTGCCATCCCTGGCGCCACGCCGCTGCTGTCTGCGAGCTGAGGGCAGGTGAGCGCCCTCTTGCCCCGTAGGCGTGAGGGCCAGTCGGCGTCGGGCCAAGACCCTGGGATGCCCTCAGCAGAGGGTCTTTCGGCGGCGACCTGCCTTAGAGAGCGACCGAAGCTGCCTTTCATGGAGGATCTTCCTCCAGCGAAGGCCACAGCGAAAAGAGCGCAGCCCGACGGCCGCGCCGCCCGACCGGCCGGGGGATCGGATTCTCCGGTCGGTCGGCCCCGACCGGCTGGACGGATCGTTTTCTACATAATGCACCCTCTCGCCACCCTCAACATCCGACGACATAACGCATCACGCATCCACCCCGCCATCCTCTATCGTGGGCTGCTCTGCTCACTAAGCCGGCACCGAGTGGGGAACGGCAGCCTCCGCGAGAACCGCTCGGCAGCGGGGGGTCGGCAGAAGACCCTGCAGCAGACTCGACGCCGCTTAGTACCTGCTGCAATTGCGAGGCCTCTCGCGCACAGGGTAAGCGTCCAGGGGGCGAGAAAACTGGGCCACATCCTCTGGTGGTGCAGCCTCCTCTGGCCCTCTCAGCATTTCCGAGGCGATCCTCGGTCTCTGCGAGCAAGCGGCAAAGCCTAGGCCGGTCTTCTGGCAGCCTCGCTGTTCTGTACTCACCAGTGCCCTCATCGAAACCAATGGAGGGTGCGTGTCTTGCATTTGGGCACTGAGCCCCCCCTTGGAGCTCTGCTACAAGCCTCGCCACCGCTGGAACGCGGACACAAAGGAGGGCGGCTGGCGCTTCTGAGAGGGGCCCCCTGTCGTGCCCTGATCTAGGGCCACCTTGCTGACTCCCTGTCTGGCGGCCAGAAACCGCACCTCCGGCAGCGCCCAGCGCGACGCTGCACGCGGGCGCGGCTGCCGCCAGGCACGGGCTGGGTGCCCTTAGATACCTGGGACCCCGCATGCCCGGCACATTGAAATTAGCGGGATAAGCGCGCATGATATCGTTTCCTACGACTATCTGCTCAGCGCAGCGCCTAGGAAATCCGAAAGGCCCCCGCAGCCGGTCTGCGTCTCTGACTGGCCGCGGGCCCTTCCCGTCCGTCTTGGAGCTCAGCGGTCCGCGCTCCTCATCTCGCGCGGGGGCCCGCGCAAAACGCCGCCTACCCTGCGACTGCAGATAAGGGAGGTCCAGGATCCCGTTGTCTCAAGCTTCCTGGGAAATCCAACCGCGCAAGAAAATTCCCTGCCAACCCAAAAAAAGGCCTCCTGGAAGTCGCCGGCCCGCCGCTGCCCCGAGAAAGGCGGAGGAGGAGGTAGCGCGGGCGAGGAGGGAAGGCTGACGGGCGTGGCTCGGGCGGCTGAGCCCCCCGGGCCCGGGGGGCGGGCGAACGGGGGCTCTGGGTCGGCCGAGCCTCCAAGGCCTGCAGAAAAAAGGCTGCAAGCGCGGCCCATGGGGCCTCGCTGGGGGCGGCGCGGCGAAGTCAGGCCTCCGGCCCCGCGCCTTCAACTCGCGCGCCTCTGGCGCGCCCGCTTCTTTCAACTCTCCGACGCTGCCTTCGCTCAGGCGAAGCGCCCTGATGAGGGGGGCCCAAAAGCAAGGCTTCCGCCGACATCAGGTGCGGCGGAGGCAGCGTGCTCTGGCATGAAAATCAAAGCACGCCTCGCATCTGGAACTCTCCAGCAGGTACTCGGCGTCGCCCAAGCTGCGGCGGGCCTTCGTCGCGCGACCCCGCCGAGCTCCGATCGTCGCCATGGTCGCGCAACAGGTGCAACACAGATAGCAGGCCTTCCCATGGCGAGCCGGTGCGCATGGAACCTCGGCGCCGACGACCTGCTCGACGCGCGTCACAACCTCCCGCTGCCGCAGCACAAGCTTGGCTTCGTCTTCAGACGACCTGCGCGCAGCGTGCCACGCTGCCTTGAGCCCCGTGGGCTTGCTCTAGTTTGTTCTGGCAACTGTTGACCCATTCCGCATCATCTCTTGTCCCGCTGTCCTCGCCCGTGTAGCTCAGCGCGGCATCCGCCCGGTGTCTTCGCGTAGCATACCTATCCAGCTCTGTGGATGCTGCCAAAGGGCATCCGGTAAATGCCGTAGCTGCCGCGCCCCGTGGAATGCTTACCCGCGCAGAATGCCGTAATCGTCCACATCTGAGATATGTTCCGAAATCTGTACACCAACCCCTCGGCAGCACCTCCTCCTCCTCCGTGATCTGCTCTTTTTGCCCTCACGCATGATCGCGCTGCAAGGCTTTGCGGCATCCAAGAGCACATTTATCATTAACTCTCCGAAGCACTCCGCTGCCCATGTCGGCCCAAAGTTCAGCATGAAAGAGGAGCCTTGGGGTTGCGAAGACATCGACGCATCTGACATTGATTTCCGTGCCGATTTCCTTCCTCCCCCAGGCAGCTCGCGCCAGGTCCCCTGGGCATCTGCCCGTGCCAGTGCGCGCCCAGAAATGCCAGGCCCTGCTTTGCCATCTCCAGATAGCACGCTGCCCGCGCGTTTGTACTGCTTGGTGATGTAGACTCGAAGATCGCACTCGCCGGTCACAATCAGCGGCGGCTTCGCTTCATGTATTTGCTGGCGCGCCACTTTCGCCTAGGGCTCTCGTGGTGTGACAATCGTCATGGTCTTGCCTCCTGCGCAGTTGAGCTTCATGCCGCAGGCCCGAACAATCTTGCGGATGAC